TCATGACCCTGAGATCATGACCTGAGCCAAAATCAAGATTCAGATGCTTAACTGACTGAGTAACTCGGGTGCCCTACATTGAAAGCCATTTATTATTTTTTTTGAAGTTTGTTTATTTTAAGAGAGAGAGAGAGAGAGAGAGAGAGAGAGAGAGAGAGAGTGAGTAAGGTAGGGCAGAGAGATGGAGAGACAGAATCCCAAGCAGGCTCCATGCTGCCTGCCCAGAGCCAGACACAGGGCTCAAACTCACAAACTTTGAGATCATGACCCAGCTGAAATCAAGAGTTGGATACTAAACTGACTGAGCCACCCAGGTGTCCATTTTAAATGTTGTGTGCAAGGGCACCTGGGTGGCCCAGTCGGATGAGCATCCAACTTCGGCTCAGGTCATGATCTCACAGTTCACAAATTCCAGCCCTGCCCTGGGCTCTGTGCTGACAGCTCAGAGCCTGGAGACTGCTTGTGATTCTGTCTCCCTCTCTCTTTACCCCTCACCTGCTTGTACTCTCTCTCTCTCTCTCTCAAAAATAGATATTAAATTTTTTTTTAAATATATACCTCATCCATTCAGTCATTTGATAACTATTTATTTAGTATTCACTATATGCCAAGCACTGTGTTAGGGACAGGATTTCTAGGAATGCTATGAAAGAAAGGCATACCTATGAAAGGGAAGAAAAGAATAATGTAAAGGGAAGCCAAATCTCAAGGGAGGATTTTACATTTTTCATTGGAGATTCAGAGACATATTAAAAGATTGGAACGAAGGAACTGAGGGTAGGGTTAGGGTAGTAGAGTAGTAGAGTAACCAATGGAGCAAAGCCCAAGGGAAATGTGGAAGAAGTGTAAAACAGCAAGAAGTGGGTTTCCTTTTTAAGGAATTTTAATGTCATAAGGGAGATAACATATATAAAACTTTTAAAAATGTAAAGAAAATATTTTAGCAAAATCTAGGATCAATAGAATCCAGAGTTAGGATGATTAACAAAAATTAATTTTAGATGACTTCACATCATCTTCTAGCACAGTAACAATATTAGCCAGAATTCTAGAAGAAAGTGGTAGTAACACTGCCTGACTTCAATCCACTGGGAATATGAAAATCCTCTGGGCGATACAAGGAAACTTCCCATTGCTTAGACTGAGCATCAGACTAAGAACTTTGAATCTCCAAGCCTTATGACTCTTCAAGTAAAAGTATTAAGTCTCTGTGAAGGTCTAAACTGCAACCAGAGGAAAAATCCTAGGTTAAGGCGTTTAGACAAGTACAGGTTATTCAATCACTTTTAAAGTTAAATTTAGGGGCACCTGGGTGGCTCAGTCGGTTAAGCGTCCAACTTTGGCTCAGGTCATGATCTCATAGTCCGTGAGTTCAAGCCCCGTGTCAGGCTCTGTGCTGGCAGCTCAGAGCCTAGAGCCTGCTTCAGATTCTGTGCCTCCCTCTCTCTTTGCCCCTCCCCTGCTCAAGCTCTGTCTCTCTCTGTCTCAAAAATAAATAAAAACATTAAAAAACATATTTTAAAACAAAGTTAAATTTAATTCATATAAACATCCGGGCAAAGGGTGAAATGAGAAGTACTGATAAGAAGACAACTAGAGTTTTTAAATAAATTAGCTGTGATGTTTAAGGATCAAGATACAGTACAAGAAAGAAAAAAAATAATAAAAACATTGATAGGACAGCTGCTTTGGAAAACAAAACAAAACAAAAAACAAAAAGAATCTCTGAAAGACCTGAGAAATCAATGTCTGCATTGAAAGCTATTAAGGATATACTAAGTCCACTGCTGTTCAGATCTAATGCACTTCCGATTTTAAATTGAAACCTGTTCTGTTCTATTATCCTAAAACCTTCAGGATATTCAAGGACCTTGTCAAGGACATTAACTTGGAAACAGAAATCCAAACCTTTAGTTGCTAAATGCTTGGTGAAATCTGGTATGCAAATATCTTTCCCCATCTGTGATTGGGAGTTTATTCTTCAGGCAATGGGGGAAAATCTTGAATGCCCCGAGAAGGAAAGTGACATGATCAAAGCAGCTTTACAGGAAAGTTAATTACAACATTGATATATGGAATAAATGAAGGAAAGAAGTGGAAAGACTGAGCCAAAAAAGTCATTAAAATCTAGTTACAATGTTAGGAAATAAAGATCTGTGGTGGCGGATGTACTTGGGCAAACAGAGGATATTGATCTTGCTACACTTGGATTTGAAAATCAGTAACAAGGGAGACCCTAGAGAAAATAAATGGTATTATTTTAATATAGCTTTAACAACCTCGAAAATTTTGTTTGGGAGTGTAAGGAAGGATAGACAACAGATTTTGGTTAGATTTTATATAAGTGTGCCAAGAAGATATCCGGATGGAAATATTCACAGGTCACTAAGCTTGGATTCTAAGGATGAACTAGAGATTCTTTATTTGGGAGTCATCTAAACGGTTCTTAGTTAGGGTTAATTTGGTCCCCCAAATGATATTTAGCAATGTCTGGAAGGATGGTGCTATTGGAATCTGGTGGGTAGAGGTCAGTGATGCTGTTAAAATATCTGCAATGCACAGAACAACCTCCTACAACAAAGGATTATGTGGCCCAAATGTCAATAGAGCCAAGGTTAAGAACTCTGCTCATAAATGTCATAGTACATTAGGGATATTTTGTCCAATCAGTGCATATAGTATATTTATGTTTAATTTAAATTTAATTTATAGAAAATAAAAATAGTACCAAACATTTATCAGGTCTTACTCTATTTCACATTACATGGTTTGTCTTTTAAGAATTTTTTTTTCAATGTTTATTTTTGGGACAGAGAGAGACAGAGCATGAACGGGGGAGGGGCAGAGAGAGAGGGAGACACAGAATCGGAAACAGGCTCCAGGCTCTGAGCCATCAGCCCAGAGCCTGACGCGGGGCTCGAACTCACGGAGTGAGAGATCGTGACCTGGCTGAAGTCGGACGCTTAACCGACTGCGCCACCCAGGCGCCCCATGGTTTGTCTTTTAAATGCTATAAGACGTATATCACCTTTATCCTCCTTCAACAGGTTAGGAGACAGATCCACTGAAAAGTTAAGATGCCTGCCAAAAGCCACATAGCTGGCAAATTTGGGGGCCCAGACTGCAATCAAAAAGTCCATTTTCAGAACCATGATTCTAACCACTAAGCTGGATCATACAGTGATTATAGGTGCAGTATCCTCAAACACCATGGCAGACAAGAGAGAATTACAGAGCAAAACATTACTCTCCTGTCATCCTTCTTACCAAACCAAACCACACCAAATCAAAAAAAGTAAAAGCACTCTCTCAAATATTAATAGCAATTCCTTTCTGCATCACCGAAGACTCCATTATCCCATTGAAACATTTCAGAGATTTTAATCCTGGAGGAGGTTTTCAATGGAGGAAAGAAACCTTGAGCTCTACCTGAAGCAGCAATTTTGACAATCTTAGCATTCTGACATATGGTGTATCCAGATGTATTATACCTAATTTGTGAGTAATAATAAAGTACAAAATTTTCCTAATGTAATTTTCACCCTGTAAATTAGAACTGAGTAAAAATTAGTACTATTATAATATATATCATATTTTCTTACTTTCCACTATGTTTTTTTTGAGTGCCAAAGAAAGATATACAATTAAAGCTAATGACATTGGGGCACTGGATGTTAACATATAAATGTCATTGTGATTCAGAACAGTAAAATGTATTTGTTGAAAATTACCAACTTAATATTTAGAATATAGTCAACCAAATAAGAATTTCTCAAATTAGACTTTTAAATCATCCTCTTTAAATATAAATTACACATTTATCAAACTAACATTTATCAAACTAGATATTTGGAGTTCTAGTATGATTTATTCTCCATTTGGTCAAGATGATAAAGGTGAAACACATTTCTTTGAAGTTTGGTGGTTTCCAAATTTTTGAAACAATGGACTTATTCCTCAAATGACTATTAAGAAATAAAAATATCCATAATAAGGAAAGGTGGAAAAGAAGAAGGAGAGAAGTTCTGCAGCCAGAATGGGGAAGCTGGGAAGAGAGGAAGTTGGGAGGCCACTTAGGACAACCTGGGGACAGGGGGTCCAAAGATCTAGATATTTAACAACATTAATCTACCCATCAGGCAGTATTTTAGGCAACTTTAGAGGCTCCATAGAACACAGTTTGAGGGGTGCCTGGGTGGCTCAGTTAGTTACACATGCAACTCTTGATTTTGGCTCAGGTCATGATCTCACAGATTGTGAGTTCAAGCCCGGCATTGGGCTCTGCACTGAGGGTGTGGAGCCTGCCTGGGATTGTGTCTCCCTCTCTCTCTGACCCTCCCCATCTCAATCTATATTTCTCTCTCTCAAAACAAACAAACAAAAAAATAAATAATAATAATAATAATAAAGAATAGAGTTTGAAAGGGGTTATCCAATATATTTTAGGGTAATTTATAATAAAATTATCATAACTATCTTAAAATCTTTTAACTATATTAAAGTTGCAGGTCTAACTAGTATATTAATTACATTCTGCTTTAAAATGTGATATTACATAATATGCATATACTTATCATTAAATGCTACATTTTATTTTATGTGTTAAACTTGCATTTTTTAATTTTCAAGTGGTGGACAGTCTCCTGAGGCACTTAATTCCTATCTCTGCCTGTGGTTTATATTTATCTCTTGACCATTTCTGTCAGAACTGCAAATTTATTTTCTACCATAAAAAACTAAAGTAAATTACATTTAATAAGCTTTTAAATATAGTTCTCTGACACAACACTTAATTTAAGATCGATGATTTTACTCTTTTACACTGTGCTTTGGGAATATTTTTGAGCAATGATGAATTTCTTTTGATTGTTCTCTTATTTTCTGGTAAACAGTACTGTAATAAATTTTGATCCTGCCTTTGGTCTTGATATTTAGTAGCTCTGTATTTGTTTTCTTTGATAGCAACACGCATTAATATTTATAACCATTTTCCTTTGCAGCATCTCCCAGATGGCTCTGCGCCCAGTGCACATGTTGAATTTTATCTTTTACCATATCCCAGTGAAGTTCGTAGGAGGAAAACAAAATCTGTTCCAAAATGTACCGACCCCACTTATAATGAAATTGTAAGTATGATTCATCTCTTGTCCGGTCGCTTTGTATTTTTCTTACCATTTTTCAGCTTAACAACCAAATATGGAAAATGTGCAGTAATTGGAAGCGTTATTCCATAAAGGGAAGACATTTCACAAAATAGCCACTGTGTGCTGATCACTGTTCTCGATGCTATGGGAACTGGAAAATACAGATTCTGCTTTCAAAGCATTTATGAACCAATTTTCAAATTTTGGCTATCCTCCAGCAAGAGCCCACGATGGCGTTTGTTTTGCCTAACATTAAACCTGACTTCATCTTATTTTCTCTAACCTTATTTTCCCTTACCTGGTTTTCTTTACCTAATAACTTTATCATAGTATATCCTGTGTATAACAATAAACTTCATAAAATCTCCTCTGAAAAAATGAAAAACAATAAACAAGTACAAACCACCAATAAAATTAATTTATATTATATATAGCTCTCTAATTCACGTGTATTTCACAATTTGAATATCCAAACCCTTAACTTCTTTCTGAGGCAAACCCCACATTTATTCTCCTGACTCCATCCCTTCTCATCTACTCTGTACCTTGCTCGGATGTTAATTTGTTTGCCTTTCTTAAGGCTACTTCATCCACTGGTTAGGTCAGAAATTTTAAAAAAACAAAACAAACTCCTGAACTCAGCCTTTCTAAAGCACCCACATTTTCTTTCCCTCCCTATTGCCTCCAAACTTTTGCAAAAGTAACTCACATTTCCTGCTCTCACTTCATCACTTCCTTTTCATTCTTTAATCCTTTGCAGTGTGGATTTTGAACTTAAAGATGCTGCTTTATTAAGAGTGACATCAGTAGACTCCTAATTGCTCAATGAGCCTAATGAACCCTTAGGCTCTACTCTCCTGAACATTTCTACAGCCACGCTGCCAACTGCACCCTCTTTTTGACACCCCCCTTTTGCTTGAGTCTTACCTCTTCTGAACTCCCTCCATCTTCTCTAACCACTCATTTAATTTTGTTCTTTGCCATTCTTCCTCTGAAAAATATTCTTGTTTGCTGTTCCATGATCTACCCTCATTTCCTCTTGATAGATACAGTCTCAAAATTATCTTATATACCTAAAAATTTTCATTTAACACCTCTCTGTAAGTTGCATCTGCATCTATTCCTCAAGCCTTGGCTTCTGCCTTAAATTTTTGACCTTCTGTACTTCTGCCTGATTACTAAAGAGCTCCATTTGAATGTCTCCTAGGCACTTTTAAACCAAAGTTCCCTCCTCTGTTTCCGATCTAAAAAGATATCTTCTAATGACACTTCCCTCTCTCTCACTCACTTTTCCAACTAATCCCCAAGTTTTGTCATTTTAAAAGTTTTTTATATGTACAGCCACCTGCCTCTTAAACCCATCGCCTTCTGTCTGCCCCATCACTGCTTCGTTGTTTGAGGTCCCTGTGACTTTGGCTACTATAGAATAGCCTCCTATCTGCCTCTTGTGTTTTTCAATCAAATCATTCACATTTCTACCTAAGGTGTCTTTCAAAAGCCAGTCATATTTATTTTTTCTTCTATTTAAATTTCTTTTGAAAGTTCCTCATTGCCTCATGGATAATGTATCATCCCTATATACTTTTAAAAAGATTGTTTGGGGTACCTGGGTGGCTCAGTTGGTTGGGCATCTGACTCTCGGTTCCCCTCAGGTCATGATCTTACAGTTTGTGGGTTCAATCCCCACATCGAGCTCAGTACTGATGGTGCAGAGCCTGTTTGGTATTCTCTCTCTCCCACTCTCTCTCTCTCTGCCCCTCCTCTGCACACTCGTTCTCTCTCTCTCTCTCTCTCTCTCTCTCTCTCTCAATAAATAAACTAAAAAAAATTGTTTTGAGATCATTGTAAATTCACATGCAGTTGGTAGAAATAATACAGAGAGAATTCAAATAACCTTTTGCTACTCTCTCCCAATGATAACATTTTGCATGACTAGAATACAGTATCACAACCAGGAAACTGACATTGATTACAATTCACTGACCTTATTGACATTTTGCCAGTTTTACATGTGTTCTTATGCATTTTGTTGTATTTAGTTCTATGCATTTTTATTTTCATTCCAATTGGTTCTATGCATTTTTATCACATGTATAAATTTGTGTGACCATCACCCCATCAAGGTCCAGAACAGTTCCATCACAAAGACCCTTGGTGCTACTCTATTATAGCCACAGACACATCCCTCACTCTAATGCCCACTCCCCCATCACTGTCTACTAGTAATCTCACCATCTTTATAATTTTGTTATTTCAAATGTTATATACATGGAATCATGCAGTTTGTAACACTTTGAGACTAACATTTTTCTCTCACCATAATGCCCTAGCAATCTATCCAAGTAGCTGCATGTCTCAATAGTTTTTTTTTCTTTTCACCACTGAGTAGTAGTCATGGTATGGAAGTATAACATTTTCCTTAACTGTTCACCCATTAAAGGACATCTGGGTTATTTTTGGCTTGGGCTATTGCAAACAAAGCTGTTGTGAACATTGACGGATAGGTTTCTGTGCAAACATAAGTTGTAATTTCTCATAGATAACCACTCAAGATGTAATTACTGGAATATATGGTAATGGCATATTAGGTTTAAAAAAAAAAAGAAAGAACTTGCCATACTCTTTTTCTATACCATTTTATACTCCTACCAGTAATGCATCCAGTTTTCTCTGCATCTATGCCAGCTATTTTTTAATTTTAGTCCTTTTGATAGGTATTGAGTGTGCCTCATTGTGGTTTTAATTTGCACTTACCTAATAACTAATGATGCTGAACTTCTTGTCATGTGCCTATTTACCATCCTCTTTAGTGATAGGTTTCTGCATGTCTTTGCTCATTTGCTAATTGAGTAGTTTGTATTTTTGCTGCTGAGTTTTGAGAGTTCTTTATATATTATGGATAGTAGTCCTTTGTCAAATAAGTGGCTTGCAAATATTTTCTACCTGTCTTCCATGACTACTTTTCATCCTCTTCTCAGGGTCTTTCAAATTAAAAGTTTTAATTTTGATTTTGTACAAGTTATCAATTTTTCCTTTTTTGGCTGCATATATGGTGGCAAATCTAAGAACTCTTCACCTAGCACTAGTCCTAAATATTTTCTCTTCTAGTTTTCCTGTTTTCTAGTTTTACATTTTATATTTAAGCCCATTATTTATTGTGAGTTTATTTTTGAATGAAGTATGGGGTTTAGGTTGGAGTTCATTTTGTTGTTGTTGTTGTTGTTGTTGTTGTTGTTGTTGTTGTTTTAACCTATGAATGCCAATTACTCAAGCATCATTTATTGAAAAAGCAATCCACCAAATGTCTTTGTAACTTTGTTAAAAATAAGTCAGGGGGCTCCTGGATGGCTCAGTCGGTTAAGCATTTGATTTCAGCTCAGGTCATGATTTCTCACAGTTCATGTGTTGGAGCCTCATGCTCAGCCAGTTAAGCATCCAACTTCAACTAAGATCATGACCTCATGGTTTGTGGGTTCAAGCCCTGTGTCGGGCTCCTCTGACAGTGCAGCACCTGCTTAGGATTCTCTTTCTCTCCTTCTCTCTCTGCCCCTCCCTGACTTGTGCTTTCTCTCTCTCTCAAAATTAATGAATAAACTTAAAAAAAATAGGTCAGGAATATATGTGTGCTCATTACCTTTTATTTCTTCACACCTAATCCTATTGTCAGGTCACATAAGACAGCTTGTCATTCCCTGAACAATCCTTAGGACCTCTGTGATGGAGCTGGTTCCCTTCACCCTTTCTGCTCTTCTCTGTCAACTTTGAAGCTTACCTCAAATGTGGATTCTGGGAACTACTCCCTCCTAGACTCTTATGCCACACTTGCCATCTTTTACTTAGTTCTGCATGCTTTTTTTCTTCTAGTATATTGTAAATTTCTTGAGGGCAAAGGAAATACCTTTTTGTTTTTTGGGTTTTTTTAGTATCTTTAAAATTTAGCTGTTTCTAAAAAGATTTATGGAATTTAATATTTGGGGTAGTTTTATAAGTGATGCTTTATATGGATGTGTAAAAATGCATATATATTTATACATATAATTTAGTAAGGAAAGATCTTCTGAAATTGTATTATTTATCATGATATCAGCAGCTATAGATATACTCTCCCAATAGTAGATCATTTGTTTACATATGTTTTCAGTACAAGACCCCCTACATCAATATCAAGAAATTTCTCTAGACTTAATGCTATACTTCAGCATTTGTAAGCCAAGGAGGGACATAAGGACAAAAAGCCACTGACATTTCAGGAGTTTAAATTAACTTGTGTTTTATTTATTTCAAGCAATATTTTAAAGCAATATTTTTAAATAGTAAATACACATGCATGGAGATTATTTTATATTGCTTATTATTTCCATACGTTTTCTGATGGTTTGCAATAATTCTGGGTCCTCCCACATTCGTGGCCCATTGATTAGAAATCACTGCAATGCTTTTTTCGTCAGCCAGTACTTGTAGCTTGGACACACTGTTTATAAATTTAAAACACTTTTAAAATTGTTTGGAAACTTTTAAAATTATTTCAACAATAGTCCATAGTCCATGCCTAGTACACTCTGATTTCTACATAACTCAAATAAGCAGAAATGTTAATTAATATGTGGATAAGTGACTATTTTAATAGTAATGATCACCCTATAAACAAGTTTGGTGGGGAAGCTGGTTGAATTTAGAAAGCGATGAGAATAAAAAGAAGACAACATTTTAATTTTTCTCCCATTTTGTTCTGTGTCTTATATCAATACAAGAATAGTTATAAGAAATGCCAAAAAAAAGTACACCGGTTTCAACTCTGGTTTTACTTTCTCTTGCCCTCTACTATGCTGCTGGAGGCCTCATCTCTGTGCCAAACCCCTCAAATATTTCTGGGCACCCTCAGCAACAATTTACATATGTTTTCTCGGAAGCCCAGAAAATTATCACATGGCATCCACCTCGTTTTTAACTTGTCCCCTGCTTTGCTTCCCCAATACTGCTACATCAACCACTCAGTATGGCTGGGATTTCTTAAACTGCCAAAGCCACGCAATGTTCTGAGAAGTGGGAGAGAATGACCTCACTCCCCTTTTTATATAAATCTCTTAAAGGAATACAAAGTGCATATTACATTGCATCACCAATGTCTTAAAAGGTTTTCATGAAAATAATTATTTCCATTTTTATTCATAGTTCTCTCTTTCCCCCTAATACCCAGACTGAGAAAGGCTGGGTCAGGGACACTGCCAAGGGTCCCTTTTATATCCACCCTTTAGATACTAAACTTTCTTTGATACAGGGCCAAACTTGTCTATTTGACACTTCCCAGAGTGATTCCCAACAGACTTTGCCAGCAGTCTCCCTGAAAATCCCTATCATGTATAGATCCCTGTTGTAGACATGACTGGACTGGAGGTGGGTGGCGCTGGCAGTAAGCATGCTCACAAAACTGCCCTTCAGCCTTTAAGACACAGAGCTGGGATCCTGGCGCTAATGCCCTTGATCTTTTTCACTCTGTTACCTTTGGCATGTGGTTAAAAACCATCATTTTTTGCAATGATTCATTAGAAAAACAGATCATATTTTAGGGCATAACTATATTGTTATAGCCAATGCATATTGTACGTTGTATTCCTTTCTTAAGTACTATTCTGTTATAAAGTATAAAGGGGAAATTAGAACAGAACAGGAACATTCTACATGTTTCACAGATCTTAAAATATCTTGCGGAATGTGAATGATTATCTAGCATAGCATAAGTGTATGGTACACTCAGTAAGTCATAGCTATGGTTATCTGTAACATCCTCTCGCTTGATATTCATAACATGATGAAAACTCGATTTGTAAATGAAGACATTGAGACCTTGATGTCAAACATTTCGACCAGGGTCCAGCTACTAGTTTTCAAGTCCAAAACTGCCAGATTCCTAAACTCATACCGACCCCACTAAGTTATGCCGTTGGTCCCTTCCTCCCACACCCGCAGAGTTTTCCTGTTCTCACTTATTTTGAACTCTCCTTTTCATTATCCTGCCTCCTTGCTCCCCTTACCACCAGTACTAGACACATTTTCGTTTCCATGTTCTTGTTCTTCCACTGAAGTCACTCTAAATACGCTAAGTACACTTCAGAATTATTTACTATGCCCTCAGGGCAAATAACATATGGTGAGTGCTTGTATACAAGTTAACAGATATTAATTACCCTAAACAAGGTTTTTTTCTGTTTGATGAGATAATTTAAAGCCTACAAATTCAGTATTTGTCAGAAGGCAATGAAGACCTGGCTCATGTCTATAAGTAAAAAGTATCATAAAGTTAAATGGAAAGAGCTGTGCATTTTGGTTCTGTTTACGTGAAGACAGAATATTCATATTAAATCATTTGGTGAAAAAGTCTCAAAGAATATAATCATCTGCATACTTCTCTAGCATTACCCACTAATTAGTCATTGCGCGGTAAGAATAGAGTGTTTATTTTTTTCTTTATTTTTTAAGTTTTTATTTAAACTCCACTTAGTTAACATACAGAGTAATATTAGTTTCTGGCGTATAATATTCAACACTTCTATACATCACCCAGTGCTCATCACAACAAATAAGAGTGCTTTTTTTTTAACAACGTTATGGATACAGTAAAGCAATTAAAATAGATCTATATTATCTATGATGTATAATGATTACATGTTTATAAAACTTGAGTTACTTTTAAGGAAATAACTTTTGCCTAATGAAGCACAGGGTGTAACCTCTAGAGTTCAAATGTTTGTATTTTAACCAGAAAGGCAATTAATTCTTAAAGTCATTTTTTGAGAATTTCAACTTGCCAAATACCAGGGAGGCTCAATTCTGTCTGGAACTGTTTTCTCCAGTTAACTAATGCAAAATAGCAAGAAACAGCTGTTCCTTTTTGTGTATTTGATGGATCTTTCTCAGCTATAATTTATTAGTGTTCAATAGGTACCAGGCTTTGTTGTAAGGCTTACATTCATTATCTCACTTATTCTCCCCACAGTGCTAAAAGGCAAATATTATTATCACCATTATTATTATGCAAATGAAAAAACATATAGGTGACCATAAATGCATACAAATTATTATGTCATAGAAATTTGTATCTTTAGCGCTTATTTATATGATTCACAGAGTTCTTAAGCCAGACTTTTGCAAAGCCCTAATAGTTAGATTTATTCCATTTTTCTATTTCACATACAGTCAAACTTTAAGGGCCCCTTCATCTATTTTCTCTGTAAAATAAATGAGTTTATCTGCTGAAAGTATTGTGGAGAGGAAAATGGAAGATAGTTTAAACAGTTCAAAATAGCCACTGTGGAGAAAAAGAAAAGGAGCTTACTCTATAGTCCTGGAAAGATAAGAGTTCAGGAGGAGATGTGGCTCACAGAGTCTATGCTGGGCATCCCATTGCTGGTAATGAAGAATAATTAATGTAATTGCGTTTTGAGATTTTTAAGGCAGCACTTAAACTCCTTTACTATCTCAGGGGAATTCAATAAGTGAAATGGAATAATCTGAATCAGCAGTCCTAAGAAACTGAAAAGATAATATTCTGTTTGGAATGAGAATAGGATTCTAGAAGAGGAGGTAGCCAGGAGCTGTCACATGAAGCAGGGTAGACTGGATTAACCTGTTATATCACATCTCATGTCCCTTGATTGAATTGTTTATTTGATAAGGAAATCATTGTTCAGAACAGCTAAAAGATGGCTCTTGAATGGAACTTCATCAATAACTTCATGGGTTCATAAATGGTAGACAAATGCAATGTGATGGACCAGAAACCATATCCATATACACTGAGGAGACCTCCCAACTGACTGAAAGGGTTTCCCCCTCAAGTTGTTTCCTCTGCTTCTTTTTTGTACATATAGAGAACACTTTATTTCTATCTTGTAGCTTGGCTATAAAAAGCAAGCAAGTTTGTAGTAGCATATGAAACTCCTTTTCTAAATGTGTTCTGAGGAGTTTCCCTGGCAACCATGTTGGGTTTATACACAGGTCTCCCCTCCCTTTATGATGGGTAACTAATTTCTTGATAGTACTACACTTCTGAAGTTTCTTTACTACTGTAGGCACCCAGTGGTAATGCCCATGATTTATTTCCTGGAAATTATAACACACAGTTGAACAGATCCCTTTTTAGAAACTAGTTATATGACTAGCAAGTGAAAAAGAGCAAGACACAAAACTGTACATACAGCATAATTACAGCTCAGTTCTTAAAAAGTAATTATATATAGAAAACAAAATAAACATCAAAATATTAACTGTAATTATCTCCCAATGGTAGAAATATAGATTTTCCTTTTTTTGTTGCATCCATATTTTATTTAATAAGCATGTGTTTTCATAATTAAAAATTAAACAATTTTAAATAAATTAAAGTTAGCATAGAATTAATTCTTCCCATGTAGAAGGAAATATTGTTGTACTGCACTAAATTAACACAAGGAAATCATGGAGATTGGCTGCTCTCCTCATTAGTCTTCAACAAAGAAAGATAATGTTCAAGGTCCCATGTGGCACAATAAATTCAAGGACAGTTAAAAGGTGATGTATTTAAATTTCCTCCTAGAGAATAATTTACAGTCATATTAAATTTGGGATGGACAATTATTAATGGAATCAGAATAAATTCTAAGCTTCTTAGAGAAATATTCTGTCATTAAACTCCATTATGTTAAGAGAACCTTTAGCTTTCCAGGATTACAGTTAGAAATGAAAGATCCTACATTAACATATCTATTGCAAGCTAAATGATATTAACGGCTAAATATTTTTATTAAAAGCAATATTTTTTAAAAAGTGCATTTAAGCATATCTGATTTATATTTTCATTATTCCCTTTTCAGGTGGTGTATGATGAAGTCACAGAGCTCCAAGGACATGTTTTAATGCTTATTGTGAAAAGCAAAAGCATATTTGTGGGAGCAATTAACATCCAACTTTATACTGTCCCACTCAATGAAGAAAAATGGTATCCACTAGGAAACTGTATAATTTGACCATTTCTATCAATGAATGCATTATTCAGTAACTACCTATATCTTTTTCCACTTCTGGGCCTCTTTGTCACTAGAGCAGGACGTTTTTGTTGTCAAAGGTAGCATAGTGTATCAAGGACACACAAAAGAAAGACATCAGAATTAGTCTGTTAGAGTTATATATTCTCTACTTGTGTTTCATTGTTTTCTTAGAATCTTTTCTCCTTAACAAAGTGCCAATTTATTGTGTAAAATAAAAGAACACCTAATTTTAATATATCTTTTAAATCAAACACATGCTCACATTTTTTAACTGTGTGCCTACTGTTAAAAGCAACACTCTGACTGTAGTTTCCAAGAAATATGGCCATAAATCTCACCAGTTAATTTAAGATCTAAGTATATCTGTAACAGATTTTTAACTTTGAAGTAAATATACATACCTGCATACTGACTTATAATCCTATTTATCGAATTATTTATGGAATTAGTAAGCTCCAGCAGAATGATGTATTATTTTCTATCAGAAAAACAAAGGACAAATGCCTGAAATTCTTAAATCCAATTTTTGTAAGAAACTTCTTTGCAGTTTCTTGCCTTTTTCTATGCCAATCAATTAATCATCATTGGATTTCACCCAACCAGAGGCATGATCACATTTTTAAATTTCATTATCCCTTAACTCCACGATGTCAAACTCTGAAACTCTCCCCTCTGATCAAAACCTCTTCTCTTTGCACATCAAGAATTTCTCTTACTTCTGAAGCTACTTGTGTACTCATCATGACTTGAGTAGACAATCCTACGGATTTCTACCTACAAAGTAGGTACAACTCAAAGCACTATGCTACATTCTTTAAGAGAACAAAATAGGAGTTTTTTTTTTATCCTTGCCATTTAAATTACTTTAAAAAGTTAAATTCTTGCTTTTTTTTTCAATGCTTCACTGTGAATGAATAAAAAAGTAATTTAAGCTCTTAGATATGGTCATCTACATAACCATGTAAACACATAAAGGACTGTAAAATTTATTCATTGAAAACAGTTGAGTGCCAGCCTACAGCAGGCAGAAAGTCAATGCAGATGACCGCACTGAAAGGAAAAGTGACTCTGACACAACAGCAGGGCATAAGCAACACATGTAGGATACTCTCCTGAAGTGCCAGGTTCTGGTGAACAGGGACTGCACTGCAGGGAACTCCAGGATTTCTTCAATGTAAAGTCACTTTCAAGAGCAGAAAACATAGTTGACCTTCTTAACACAGAGAAACAGACACAGAAAGGCAGGCAAAATGAGAAGACAAAGAAATTTATCGCAAATAAAAGAATAGGACTAGGCTATAGCCAGAGATCTAAGCAAAATAGCTATAAGTAACATGCCTGATAGAGAATTTAAAGCAATTATAATGAGGATACTTACTGGACTTGAGAAAAAAGTGGAAGACATGAGTGAGACCCTTAACACAGAGATAAGAAATAACATGGTAGAGATAAAGTGCTCAATAAACAAAATGAAACATGCTTGATGGAATGAACAGGACCTAGTGACCTAGAAGATAGAATAATGGAAAGTAATCAAGCTAAACAAAAGACAGAAAAGATTATGCAAAATAAGAATAGGCTTAGGGAACTCAGTGACACCACCAATGTAAAAACATTCAAATTATAGAAATCCCAGAAGAAGACAGAGAGAGGGGAGCAGAAATTTATTTGAATAAATGATAGCTGAAAACTTTCTTAATCTAGGGAAGGAAACAGATATCCATATCCAGGAGGCACAGAGAACTCTCAAAATCAACAAAAGCAGACCCACATCAAGACACATTTGTAATTAAAGTGGCAAAAAATAGTGATAAACAAAATTTTTAAAGCAACAAGACAAAGGAAGACAGTAACTTACAAGGGAAAATCCAAAAAGCTAGCAGGAGATTTTTTCAAAAGAAAATTTGTAAACTAGAAAGGAGTGGCATGATATATTCAAAGAGCTGAAGGGGAAAAATCTGCGGCCAAAAATATTTTCTCCAACAAGGTTACTATTCAGAATAGAAGAAGAGATAGTTTCCTAGACAAACAAAAGCTAAAGAAGCTCGTGACCACTAAACCAGCCCTACAAGGAATATTAAAGGAGACTCTGAGTAGGAGACCAACAGTGACAGTATCAAGGTAGGAAACACAAATGCAGTAAAAATGAATATTTCTGTAAAAATTCAGTCATGAAACTCACAAAACAAAAGGATATAAAATATAACAACATATGCCTAAAGCATGGGGAGAAAAGGAGTAAAGAATGGGTTCAAACTTAAACAACCATCTACTTAATATAGACAGCTATGTACAGAAGAGGCTATATACAAACCTAATGGCAACCATATATCAAAAACTACTAATAAATGTGCAAGAATAAACAGAAATAAATCCAAATATAAAATTAAAGAAAATAAGCAAACCATGAAAGAGAGGAAGACAAGAAAAGATCAGAGAAAATCTTCAGAAACGACCATAAAACAAATAATAAAATGACAAAACTATATATCTATCAATAATTACTTTGAATGTAAATGAACTAAACACTCCAATAAAAAGACATAGGGTGACAAAATGGATAAAAAAAAACAAGATCCACCTATATGTTGCCTATAAGTAATCATTTTAGATATAAAGACACCTGTGGATTGAAAGTGAGGGGATGGATATACATCTATCATGCAAATGGAGATCAAAATAAAGACAGAGTAGCAATACTTATATAAGACAAAATAGACTTTAAAATAAAGACTGTAACAAGAGACAAAGAAGGACAGTATATAATGATAAAGGGGACAATTTAACAAGAAGATATAATAATTGTAAATATATGTGCAACCAATTGAGGAGCATCCAAATATATAAAATAATTAATAACAAACATAAAGGAACTAATACATAATAATAGAATAATAGGAGAGGACTTTAACACCTAATATCAACAGACAGATCATCTAAATAGAAATACAACAAGGAAACAATGGCTTTGAATGACGCACTGGAATATAAGGATTTAACAGATATATGCAGAACATTCCATCCTCAAACAGCAGAACATACATTCAAGTGCACGTGTAATAGTCTCCAAAATAGATCACATAAAAATATAAAATAAGCTTCAACAAATTCAAGAAGATTGAAATCATACCATGCATCTTTTCTGACAACAATGCTATGAAACTAGAAGTCAACTACACGAAAAAAATCTGAAAAACCACAAATATGTGGAGATTAAATACTACTAAACAATAAATGGGTCAACCAGGAAATTTAAAAAAGAAATAAAAAACTATATGGAAACAAATGAAAATGAAAACACAATGATCAAAAACCTTTGGGACGCAGCAAAAGTGGTACTAAGAGAGAAGTTTATAGCAATGCAGGCCTACCTCAAGAAGCAAAAAAAATCTCAAATAAACAACCTAACCTTACACCTAAAAGAACTACAAAAATAACAACAAACAAAACCTAAAATCAGAAGAAAAAAATAATAAAGATTAGAGCAGAAATAAAGGATTTAGAAGCAAAAAAAAAAATAGGTCAATGAAACCAGCTGCTGCTTCTTTGAAAACAAATCAATAAAATTGATAAACTTATGAAAGTTGAGAAAGGACTCAAATAAATGAAATCACAAATGAGAGAGAAATAACTACCAACACCACAGAAATACAAACAACTATAAGAGAATATTATGGAAAACATTATGCCAACAAATTTGTCAACCTAGAAGAAATGAATAAATTCCTAGAAACATATACACTACCCAAATTGAAACAGGAAGAAATAGAGAATTTGAACAGATTGATAACCAGCAAAGTAATTAAACAAGTAATCAAAAAAACTCCCAATAAACAAAAGTTCAGGATTAGATGGCTTCAAGGGGAATTCTACCAAATGTTTAAAGAAGAGTTAATACCTATTCTTCTCAAACTGTTACAAAAAATATAAATGGAAGGAACACTTTCAAATTCATTCTATGAGGCCAGCATTACCCTGATTCCAAAACCAGATAAAGATGCCACTAAAAAAGAGAACTACAGGCCAATATCCCTTATGAACATAGATGCAAAAATCCTCAACAAAATACTAGCAAACTAAATCCAACAATACATTTTTAAAAATCACTTGGCATGATCAAGTGAGATTTATTCCTGGGTTGCAAGGGTGGTTTAATATTCACAAATCATTAACGTGATATATCACATCAATAAGAGAAAGTTTAAGAACCACATGATCATTTCAATAGATGCAGATAAAGCATTTGACAAAGTATAACATCACTCATAATAAAAATTCTCAATAAAGTAGGTTCAGAGGGAACATACCTCAACATAATAAAGGCCATTTATGAAAAACACACAACTGACACCATCTTCAATGAGGAAAACCTGAGAGCTTTTCCTCTAAGCTCAGGAACAAGACAAGGATGCCCACTCTTACCACTTTTACTCAACACAGTACTGGAAGCCCTAGCCACAGTAATCAGACAACAAAAAGAAATACAAGACATTCAAATCAGTAATGAAGAAGTAAACCTTTCACTCTTTGCAGATGACATGATACTCTATATAAAAAACCCAAAGACTACACCAAAAAAACTTCTAGAACTGGTAAATAAATTCAGTAAAGTTGCAGGATACAAAATCAATGTACGGAAATCTGATGCATTTCTACATGCCAATAATAAAGCAGCAGAAAGAGAAATCAAGGAATCAATCCCATTTACAATTGCACCAAAAACCATGAAATACCTAGAATAAACCTGATAAAAGAGGTAAAAGACCTGTACTCTGAAAACTATAAAACACTGATAAAAGAAATGGAAGAAGACACAAAGAAATGGAAAGACATTCCATGCTCATGTACTAGAAGAACAAATATTGTTAAAATGTCTATAGTACCCAAAGCAATCTACATATTTAATACAACCTCTATCAAAAATACCACCAACATTCTTCACAGCGCTAGAAGAAACAATCCTAAAATTTGGATGGTACCACAAAAGACCTCAAACAGCCAAAGTAATCTTGAAAAGGAAAAACAAAGCTGAAGGCATCACAATTCCAGACTTCAAGTTATATTACAAAGCTGTAGTCACCAACACAATATGGTACTGGCAAAAAAGTAGAAACATGGATCAATAGAACAGAATAGCAAACCCAGAAATGAATGCACAACTATATGGTCAATTTATCTTCAGCAAAGCAGGAAAGAATATCTAATGGGAAAAGGACAGTCTTTTCAGCAAATAGTGTTGGAAAAACTGGACAGCAACATGCAAAAGAAAGAAACTGGACTACTTTAATACACCATACACAAAAATAAACTAAAAATGGATTGAAGACCTAAATGTGAGACCTGAAACCATAAAAATCCTAGAAAAAAACTCAGGCAGTAATCTCTTTGACATCAGTCGTGACAGCTTCTTAC